TAAGTTATACACATCTCTATGGTAAATTACTGGGATAGATTATCGTGATTGGTTAATTGCGATAAAAAAAATTTTTTTAAATCATTTTTTCTTCTTAATTTTTGTTATGTATCCAAAAAATATTTTTCATGTTACTCTCTTCATTTCACAGTTTTCTGTTGTACCAAAAATATAGGGTTTCAAGTTAAACCCCTCCAATAACGTAAACAAATAATCAGCACACATCTTTCAGGTACTAAAGGCAAAATTATTTCTTCTCAACTCGATATACCTTCCTCAACCATTTATGACACAATAAATCACTATAAAAAAAACAGTTTCTCTTACTCTAATATGCATCCTGGACAACCAAAATCCCTTTCTGACTGTGATTAGTGAATAGTGCGACGTTATGTTCAAAAAAATCATTTCATGCCCCTAGGCAACATTTCAAATGACATAAACACTCACCTCACTTCAACATTTTATGCAAATACTATTTGAAACTACTTACATGAAATAGGACTAAAGAGTTATATAGCACAAAAAAAGCCTCTTTTATCAAATAAACAATATTTAGCTTGACTTAATTGATGCAGAATCAAATATGACTAGAATGAGAAATGGAAATAAATTGTGTGGTCTGATGAATCACGATTCGCCTTATTCAAGTTTAACAGATGAGTATGAGTTTGACATAGGATTGAAGAAGAATACAATATAGACTATATTAAGCATACTGTAAAATTTGACAAGGGATCAGTTATGTTTTGGGGCTGTTTCTCGTGGAATAATGTTGGTCCTTAGTACTCGTGGATCAAACAATGAATTCAGAGGCTTATGTAAATGTTTTAGCCACCAACTTTATATCTTGGGTTCATAATAGTTCAAGCACCATATTTCAACAAAACAGTATCAATTGTTACACCATTCAACATATGACTTGGTGGCTTGAATCACATGTGATTCAAGTTTTGGATTGGGTTGCTCAAAGTCCTGACCTCAATCCAATTGAGAATTTGTAGGAACATTTAAATTGTCAGATTCAAAAAAAAAAACCTTTACCTATATCTAGACAAGAATTTATTCTTATTATATAAGAGGAATAGAAAAAAATAAATATTGAAACAGTACAGTACATAATTTTAAGCTTGTTTCGATGTGTCAAAACAATTATTAAGGCTAAAGATAAAAATACGAAATATTAATATATCATGTTTTGAATTATGCAAAAATAAATTATGATTATTATAGTTTATTTTATTTTTTTGCTGACTGTACATAAATTAATGAAAGTTAAATAAAATTAAAAAAAAAAAAAATGATCATTTGTCGACTCACGTATAAGAAATTTTATATATTTATTTTTTAAGTATAATAGAAATAAAATTTTAAACTGATATTAAAATAATACTAACTTATAATAAATTTAATATATGAATTATAATTAAGAATCTTAACAATTGATTTAATTTAATTTTTAATTTTTAGGTTTATATTAAATTTAATATATGAATTATACATATAGTGAAATTGAATTTGAACATTTTTCATAAATTGTATTACTATTAAAAATATAGTAAATTAATTAAAAATTGTATTTAATTAGAAATTATATTACCATATATAATAAAAATCAATACTATAACTATATATATAATATAAATTATAATCTATTATTGTTTTTAATAGTATTTCAAATTTTATATAAGTTTATATAAGTTTGTTTGATTATTAATATAATACTTGTAAAATTTTATATTAACTAAGAATCCTAATAATTCAATTTACGTAATTTAATTTTTAATTTTCAGGTTTATATTAAATTTAATATATGAAATATAATCTACTATTATTTTTAATGGTGTTTCAAATCTTATACAAGTTTATATAAGTCTGTTTTTTTTCAATTTTTAAGACTATGATATTAATATTAATTGCTATTTAATTAGATATTATAGAATACAATTTCTTAGAAGTTTGAATAACAATAATTATATAATGGCTTCTTAGATATATCTAGTTTAACTATTAACAAATAAATAATATCAAATTTAATAATAATGATTATATCAATTTTTTTAAAAAATAAATTATTTGTTCTTTTTTTAAAAAAAAATTATAAAAAAAAATTTTTTTAAAGCTTATATTTTAAAAAAAATTGTTACTTTTTAAATAATTATTGAAAAAAGAAAGTTAACTAATCAAAAAAATAATAAAATAAGAAACAATTTTTTAAAAGAAAAGAAAAAACCTCCAAAAAAATTTTTTTTAAAAAAAAATCTAACTTTAACAAAAAAAACAAAATAAAAGAAAAAAGAAAATTGTATATTAATAGCATGGGGAATACTAAACTGAAGAGGATATCAGCTAGACACAAACATCAAAGAATTCTTGAAAAACATACAAAACACCAAATGGATGGCAAACTGGATAACACAGAGAAGAAACAGAGTATGGATTGAGTATAAAGATAAGCTATAAATAGACTGGCACTTTACTTGAAAAGTGTAACACCAATTTAGAATAACTAAAATGCATACAAGCCAAGAAGATCACATTTATAGAAGAACCAGGTACAGATTACTAAATGGCAAACTTCCTATACTAGATAGGTTAGCAGAAAGAAGACCAGATATCTACAAATCTAACAAATGCCCAAGATACAAGGAAAGAGAAAGTCTAGAGCACTTAATGCACAAACACTGGCAATACAAGATAACAGATGAATACAAAAAGATAATAAAAGAATAAACTGAAGGGTGTCAAAGAAATTACAACAAAGGGAAAGAGAAAGAAGACTTAAAACCAAAAATGCCATTAATTACAAACTCAGAGTATATAAGAAACTATATAGTAAGAAGAATCTTGACCAAAGAAATAACCCGATATATATATTAGTTTGCAAAGGAAAAAAACAAAAGAAGTATACAGAAAAGTTGTTAAGAAAACAATAAAAGTAATCAACGAGCTATAGAAAAAAAGATGTGAAGAAATCACAGAATGGAAAGAAATAAACAATATCAGCAGAGCAGACAAAAGAAAGCGACAACACAGATCATACCAAACAGAAATCGAAAAAGACAGAGAAAAAGAGGAAATAATAGCAAATAGGAAAAAGAACCTGGAGAGAAAATTGCTGAAAAGATGGGTTAAAAACACGGATAAAATGATGAGAAACAATTTTTTTTATTTATATACTAGTGACATTAACAATAGCAATGCCTTGGCACGTTAGTTTCAATCTCTATCCATTAGGAAAAGTTTATAGCAACAGCCGATATCTAGAAAACCTCAATATAGTTTAGCATACATTCATCAATTAATGTTATAGCATGGTTTATATACAGAAATGTGTACGAATATATGTAAATATTGACTTTAATAAAGTTTGTTAAGCAAGGTTAAGCTAGTTTAAAAAAAAAAAAAAGTGTATATTAAAAAAAAAAGAAAAAAAAATAAACAATACAAATTTTTTTAAAAGAAAATTTTCAAGTGCAAAAAAGAAGAAGTGGAAGAGTTTTGGAAATATATAAAATTAAAAGAAAACTTAAAGAAAATTTTATAGTACCTTTATTATTTAAAAGTTTATTAATAAAGTTTATAAAATATGTTCTTAAAAATATATTTATAAAATAAGTATATTCCATATTATTAATAAATTATTGGTTTATTTATAAAATATCAATGTTATTTATTTTTGCAGGCAAATTTGTCTGCAATACAATTTAAGATTTATTAATAATTAATAAATATAATGTAACACATTATATAGAACATTTAAGATATTGAATAAAGATTCTTTAAATATTAAATATTTTTTACTTTGTATTGATAATTGAATCTTATACTTTTTTAAAATAGTTAATGCACTGCATATTTGATTTTAACAATCATCTTGCTTGATTTAAATATTCGGGACGGAAAAATTTTAAGGTAATCATCTAAAATCTTTTTGAAGGTTTAACGTACTTTAAAGAAATAATCATTATACACCTGCATTGTTCGAGATTTCCTCAAATTTATTTATCAAGTGTGGCTATTATTTGATCAGGATAGAAATGTGAATTTATTTTCATTAATCTATGTTTTTAACAAATACAATCTAAACTAATCAACGTGATTGCGAGACACCTTTGGGAGGTATCTGAATATTCTTTTTTCCGGATTAAATAACTTTTTTTTTCATAATTTACGCACTGTGCTGTTTTCATAATCTTTCATTTTTGATTCTCTGTCTAAAGGGAGGAACAAGGAAATTGTGTTGCATAGTGATTGTGTATAGATAATGTTCAAGTGATATGTGCAGGATGTGTAGCAAAGATAACGAGGGATCTGTGATGTGATAAGTCGAGATCTCCTTCCCCTCACAACATGGTAAAGTAAATCATGTACACGTCAAGAATTGTTTATTCCTCATTTCGCAGAGATCCCAAGTGTTTTCTCGTTCTTTAAGTGCGATCAAGTAATATACCAAGATCGCTAAACCCATTGCCCATATCCAGAGCTTTTGCCGATGCTGTGTTTGCTGATTGATTGGTTGTGTTGTAGGTGAATGGTTGTTGGTGTACACATATATTGAGAAAGAAAAAAAGAGTATACATAAATAATTTTGTTCGTTAATCATTCATCCTCCAATTTATATGTATATAATAATCTTTTTTAAAAAAAAAAAGAAAAAAGAAACAAAATATAGTGAAGGGAAATAAAATGAAATGTGATTGTGATTTTAATTAAATATTTTTTTCTTTTTTCTTTTGGCCAAACCTACCAAAGCCCAGCCAAGACAGAATCTCAGATGTTTTGATTCTACAAATGAATTTTCGAGTATCCTTGTTTCTCCTAATTTTTTGATTTTTCCTCAATCATGATTATTTTTTATGAGTATTGTGCGATTTCTAAGCTTCTTTTCGAACCAGCGAAAAAAAAAATATGTATATACATGTACATGACACAACCCGCAGATAAAAAAAAAAAAGAAAAACCCCCAAAACAGAATATAAAGTAAAACTCCAATCCAATTATTCTTCAGTTGCTGGCATTTTATAGCCACTCGGTCTACCAATACGCGATCTATTATTATTATCTCTATCAGAACTACTCACTTTTCTTGTATAGGACATGCGTTTCAACGCCAAGGGACTGCTGCTTTTTGTTGGGTCCTCGATTCGGAGGCCTGGTCCCTTCGGGATGAAGCTGATGTTCGCCGTGCGAAAAGGGGGACTTGAAGAGGCTTCGCGACTTGTTGACTCTGGTTCGTCAGTTCCGACAAAAGATCGGGCTTTGGGGATGTACTTTTGTTCCAAGTTAGCGTGTTCTGTTGTGGCAGAATGAATTGGAGAGTGACATCATTGTTATCTATATATTGTCATATAGTAAACGTCAAATTAATGAGAAGAGAAATGAAATTTTTCAACAAATCGTCAGTTTCCAACAATTTTATCAGGCTGTATTGTTGGAAACAATTATATATATATTGTACTTTTACAATGTATATATTTTTGCGAAGATTCTGTTTACTTCATTTTTTTTAGTAACGATGTACATACCGACAAGGAATCTTTTCGTCGTCAAGCGATACCAATTTAAAATTTTTTGAAAAGAAAGAAAAAATTTTTGGTTAGTGATTTCTCGAAATTTCACAAAGTTCAATGCGAGAAGTAATAATCCGAATTAACGATACGTACTTTGATAACTCTGCCCAACCTCCTCCAACTCGAACCATAACCATTCGACTTCTCAGTATTCGACAATAACAAAGCTTGGGTTCAACTTCGCCAAACATATACTTTCCGGATTCTCCTTCAACCATGGAAACTTTAATCTTCACTGGGCAAGCATTCACTATTCGAGCGACTTCGACGTCAAGTTGGTCGTCTGGATCTGGAACGTAATTATTCACCGAATGTGGTAGTAGGCGAATTGGTGGGCGTCTCGGTGATCCCGGAGTACCAATATTTGGACTTGGTGTACGTCCCGTTGGAGTTTTCGAAGAGGGCCGTGAGTCCGCCGTTCGATATCTGGAATTAGGTGATGGAGATGGTGACATAGCGCTTCTTCGAGCTTTCAAATATGAAAAAAAGAAATAAAAGGTGAGCATATTGACCTGCCTGTTCGTAACGAAGATGATGACGTTTTGGGGGTGAGGGTGTTTCGTGATGGGGGTCTGGTCGATGAACGAATAGATCTTATGGGAGAGAATGCTCTACTACCTGTGAGTATTTGAGAATTTGAACGTCCGTGTCTCGTCCTCGATATTCTTTGTCCAGATAGCAGACGTTTTAAATCTTCTTTCTTGGCCAATGCAACTTCATTTAATTCATTCCATTGTTCTTTGAGTATTCCCAAACGATCTTCAACTCGCCAATCGTCTTTCAATGGTTCAGCTACACGTTGTGCTTCCAAATATTTTTGATCAATTTTGGGTTGATAATATTCATATTTTGTTTCAAGTTCAATTGAGCGTGACTGTAATTCGATGACAGGCAAGAGTTCAAGTGGTGTGTCCGTCGTTGAAGTCGCAATATCAACTACTTCAAGCAATGATCTCATTAGTGCACTCATCTCATCCGCTTTTGTGCCAAATATTGCTAATTTTTGTGCTTCCTTAAGTTGAGATCTCTTATTATTAATGCTATCAGCGAGGCTAGTCAGTAATTTTGCGATCACAGCCCGTTGTTGGATGTAACTAGCATCACGTTCCGTCAAGTTGTTTATCATATCATCCAAATCATCTATTCTAGGTCCGAGTATATGATCAATTTCGGCTTGAATTTCATCGAGTTCCCTTTCGCCGAGATTCACATCATCGATTGTTGGTAATCCAGGTGTACCTTCACCGGTTATATAAGATTCGATGTTGAGCACTCTTTCTTTAACTTGTTCAATAGCATTTTGTATTTCTTTTATTGCACGTAAAACTTCTTGTTTTTCCTTTGATGCGTTTAGGCTTGTTCTCAGATGTGCTAGTAGTTCCTTGAGACCATTCCAATCTTCTAATACACGGTTGGTTCGCGATTGAACAGATTCTTTTATCATAGGATTCGATTCCTCTGGTTGAGGTTCATTAATACCGGCGCTTTCAGCCTCTGGTTTGAGAACTCGATCGTGATTCTCCTTAAATGCATCTATGATGTTCTGGAAACCGTCAACCTTTTCTTCCAAGTCACAGATCTCCATCTCTTTGTCGAGTGTGTCAACTTGAATGCTTAATACTGCCTTTTTGCATGATGCTATCCAATTTTGTATGTCTTGGGCGGCCTTAGTATGCGCAAAAATTCTGCGTACAAGTTCCAGTTCGCGACGTTCGAGTGCAACGGCATCAGAAAATTGACCCAGCGCTGTTGTGACCTTATTGAAGATGTTCAATACGCGTTCTTTATTATTTTCCGGATTTTGTTCGATAAGTTTATCTCTCTCTTGCTTTAAATTGACGTGAACCTGCTGGTCATATTTTCTCAAGTTCTCTTCACTTTGAGTGTATCCATCGATGGCTCCTCGGAGAATAGTTTCAAGGGAGTCCATCTCGAGTGCATAATAACCGCTACGATCAAGTTCGTCGTGTCTAGTTTCGACGATTGCAGTTCCTTCGTGACAGGAGCTAATAATTTTATTCGCAACCGCGTGGAATGCTGCCAATTGAGAAGCATTGTGTGCCTCGTGCAGAGCTGTTTGGAATGATGATTTTAATAATGAGAGCCTATTGATTGCTTCGTTGAGATGAATATCGAAGTTCCGTCTGTTTGACTCATCGATCTCGTCACCAGGAATTTCATGAATTTGACCAGCTGTGGCCTTTATTTTTTCAAGTTCTGCAGAAGCTATTTTTATGATTTCGTCTAGTTCTTTGACTTCAGCTTCCAATTTGTCAAAGTTCACACTTAACAATGAATTGATGCGAGATTCTAACCCATCGAATACTTCATTTTCAATATGATACAAGGCCTCGTGTTGAGCGTGCCATAGTGCAACTTTTTCGTTGAAGTTTTTAAGGGAATCGGCGGATACCTCAAGTTTTTCCCATGACGCTTCGAGATAAGATTGCCAGTTGATTATTTCCTCCATTTCCTGAACGCTCTCCTTTGATCTTATGTCGTTGAATTCCGAGCGGATGCTTTCAAGTTGATCATTTCGGTTAGGAAACTGGTGGGCAAAGATTTCAAGAGTTTCCTTCAGATCATTAAAATTCTTGTTGTTCAATTCACTGGAGTTTTCCACCATTATTCCATGATTTTGTTTAGCGTTCTGGAAGTTTGACATCGAAGAATCGATCCATTGTTGTAGGTCCATTGCGCGATTAATAAAGGCTTTGGAAATTTGTGCGGATCGATAAGATTCGGCTTCATCAATCTTTTTGGCCATTTCTTGTTTCAAAGATTCAATAGCACTTGCAACTTGACTCAAAATTCCCTCAAGTTCCGGAGATTCTTTGTCGCTCAATGCACCAAAATTCTCTTTTAGATTCCCTTGAACCACGTCGTGAAGCTTGATTAAAGAAAAAAGTTCCATCTGCTCGAGTGAGTTCGACTTAATTTGCCAGTCTTTCATATCAGCATCGGATATATCCTCCACCGGCGTATTTGACATTAAATTGGATAGGTCGTTTATCTTTTTGAAAATTTCATTGGCCTTTTCTTTGAAATCTACAACTTGGAGTGCTTGATTTATTCTTTGTTTTGCATTGGGAACATCGGCTTGTAATTTATTCCATAGATCATCAATCTCTCTTGAACGGGAGAGAACATGTTCGAGATCAGCCTTGACATCGTCAACATCGTCTTCATCCTTTTTAGCTTCTTCGGTCATTTCTTCAATTAACTTGTTGGATAAATTTTTAGCAAAGTCAAATGCACTATGGTAGGCCTGTCGTGCTGCTTCGATAGCTTCGACTTCACCAATGAGCTCATGTAATCGATCTTCGGATAGATCACCCAGAGTCCTGTCTTCGATAATATTGTTCAATGTATCCAGCCTTGGTTGAATCCACGCGGCGACGTCATTGGCCTGATGCATGTAAGACTCAATCATCTTCTTGCGACGCAATACATTTTGATGTGTGAACAAGAGATCGTTCAGGCTGTTTGCCAACGATTTGAGGGAGTTATTCTGTGCGTTAGCTGACTCACGAACAACAGAATTACAATCTTCCGCGCGACCGATTCGGTCTCGATCGCTTTGCACAGAACATGTGGGATACGTGATTCGTGACGCAACTTCGTCCCATAAATTTTCGACTCTGTCTAAAAAGCTACTAACCGCCGTAGAAACGGTGTTCCCTTCTCCACCAGGTGAACTCGGTTCGTTGGACAATAAGATCTAAATGATGGTCAATGCATGAGCACGTTTCTGTGTTGACACAATTGACATTGACATTAATATTACCTGTTGTATTTTTTGTGCCTCGTTTTCCATATTGGCGCCTTTTGCCATATATTGCATAATACCTTTTCGTTGCTCTATAACCTCCTTGGCATAATCTTCCACCGATTTTAATCCTTGCAATAATTCGTTTACAGCCTTGTGCCTATTTTTAACGTGTTCTGGGACGAGTTTTCCGCTCGCACTTGTGACATCTTGATAATCATCAAATTTACCATTCACTGTTCCAAGCATCTTATTCTCAAAATCTGTAATTTTCTTGACAATGTCTTCCAATTCATTCGACAGTTCTTTTATGACGGGGTCAATGGCGTTTTCAGCAACAGGAGTTTCTTGCGCCTGCCACGAAGCTTTTTTGAAAATGAAATGATCAAGTTCATCTTCAAGTTTCTTTGCAGCAGCATATGCGTTGTCAAGTTCTTCTGAAAGTTTCATCGTTTCTTGATACGAAGTTAGTAGGTTATTAAGCTCTTTGGATAGCGAGTCAATTTCTTGCATACGAGACTCTACAACCTAAATATGGTAATGAAAAATGAACATCTTAAGTAAACATATCGTAATATGAAATTGCGCAAGCAACGGATTACCTGTTTTATTGGTGCATTTACATCCTCATTGGATAGTGCGTCTTTAGGGTAAGGGATCTTCCCAGCAAAATCGTTCTTTAGGTTGTTCAAATATTCATTAAAGGTGGCGAGTTTCTCTGTAAATCCGGGGTCAGCTTCACCGTTTTCTTCAGCGGATTTCAATAAAGCTTTCAGTACATTCCCCTCTTTTTCTACAACGTCAGCTTGATTAAGATAGGCATTCATTGCATCACGTTGCTCTAATACCTGCTTGCCTAGATCAACACGTCCGAGAAGATCATCAAATTTCTTATTGAGATCAAGTTGACGGTCGACGATATGTTGTGGAGGAGGATGGGTTGAGAGATAGGATTTCATTGAGTCTGCCATCTCGTTGTAGGTTTTCTTGATCGATGATAATTGCTTTCCTTCAAATTCAGAAACTTTATTCTTCAAGTCTATAAACTCTTCTTGTAGGTTGATCTCTGGTTGTGCACTTTCTTTGGTCCACCTTGCTTTGTTCGCGATAAAATCGTTAGTTTGACATTCTAAATCGACGAGTGAGGAGCTTATCGGGCCATATTGATCTTCCCATTTTGCGCGAGCTTGCAACACATTAAGATCAAGTTGGTGTAGTGATGATAATTTTTGAAGATCTCCAAAATTTTTGTCAAGATTATCGATAGCTTCACGAATTGGTTTCTTGTCAACGCTTTTGCAATTTGCTTTTTTAATATCCTCGAGCAATAATTCAAGATCACGACGAGCCTGACCGATCTCTTCAACATCAACACGAGTGTTCTCTTGTTTAAATTGCTCGTGATCTTCAAGCATTTTCTGAACTTGTGATTCATTATACGAACATTCTTGAGAGAGGGGATCAACTTTACGATCATTGAGATTCTTTAATCGATCCGCTATCCAGTCTTGCAAACGGGATGCATTCTCCAGACATTCATTGGAACGTTTTTGAAGAGCGAGGGAAGATTGATATGTTTCATATAATTTGTCTAATTCCTCTCCCGCGGATCGTAATAATGAAATGCGTTTTTTCGCACATTCTTCGATTACTGCGTTTTCCGTTATCTTCACCTCATTCGCGATAGGACTAGTTGGATAAGGAATTTTTGATCCACGTTCATCCCATAGAGTGTCGACAGCATTATTTAATTCCTTGATATTCGTCTCAAAGTCTATTTCACTAGGACCAGATGAGACATTTTTCTCGGCTTGGATCAGGTTATTTCGAATTTCGTGTGAAATTTTATCCAAATTTGTAGCCTCTGCATGATATTCGACCACTGCAGCACGTTGATGCAAGAGATTGCGAGAGAAAGAAACATGATCCATGAGTTTAGTCAGGTCGCTCTCGAGTTTTGATTGGCGATCTTCAAGCGGTGCCTTACGATCCCGGTCTGCCAGCTTATCAGCTGCTTCTATAAACGCACCGTAATTCGATTTATTGGTGGGCATGATGTTGGACACAAAATCTTTTACACTATTTTCAAAAGTTGTGCATTCAAGAGAAAGAGCTTGGTGCGCATTTATATCTTCAGGTGTTTTGATCTTCCATGAAGCTTTGTCTACGATAAAACCTTTTGTCTCTTTGAGAGAAGATCTAATAAAATCGTTAGCAACCCTATATGAATCTTCCCAGGCAAGACGTTTCTGTGCGGCATTCACCTCGTCAGGTTCACGTGAACGTAAGACCTGAATGTTATCCAGAAGTCCATCGAATTTTTTGTCAAGAGCTACCATCATGTCTTCTAATTCGTCGGTGTTAACGCATTTTGTTCCAACCGCCTTCACTTCGGTCACAAGAGCAGCAACTTTTTCGCGAAGAATCTTAAGTTCATCCTGATTAAAATTATGTACATCTATGACGACTTGAGAATTTTCGGCTACATAGCTTTCAATATCTTTTGCAGAGAATTTACACGGTTCACGAAAAACATCAAATTTACGATTAACCACAAACTTGTCTTTCTTGGCAATCCAATTTTCCAGACGGGCAGCCTCGTTTTTGTACTCGTTTGCCATCTCCACGAATCTTAGGGCACGCTTGTAATTTTTCAAAGCCTCGTCAGTTTCTTGAAGCAGGGTCTCCAGTTTTTTGTGATAAACAGCCACACCCTCGCGAACGGTATCGTTTTCTGACGATTCGTGATCGGGATGCTCAGGATAGTGGATTACCACGGCCATGTTATTCCACGATTTTTCAACACGTTGGTTCAGCTCTATGACACGTGCAATGAATTTTTTTTCGACTGATCCACCTCGTGGATTAGATTCCTCGACAATTAATTCGTCTCTTAGTTTTACACCATCAATGTGAGTATTCTCGGAATCATCAGCGTAAGATAAAGCTTGTTGTCGTTGTGTCAGCACCTCTTTGGCGAAGGTCATGTATGATTTTAATTCGTCTAGCTCTGCTTCTTCAAGGTTTACTTGCTTTTCGATCAAATAATCGGGAACATCAACTTGAGAGACTTCGGTCAGTTCGAAAAAAATATCACCAGTTGGAGGAATAACATCGTTCTCAAAATCTACTATGTTTTTTTCTATGGATTGCGCTTCGACTGTGACTTCATGTTGACTATTCTGTGGAGCGTTCACAAACCAACCGTCATCTCTAGGTGAAACTGGAGGTTTCCATCTACCACGATGAAGAACAAAGGATTTAATTTCTTCTTTCAACCTATGCCAAATGTTCTTCGCACTTCCGAATTCACGTTCCCACTGCAAGCGTAAAGCCAACACAGCTAATTCGTTTTCACGATGCTTTAACATGCCCAGCAATTGATCTAAAATTGTTAGCGTTTGTAAAGTGATTGAAATAGTCATCGCATCAGCCGGGGACATGGAATCTGAAGCAGCCATATCGCCGCCCATTATATTTTTCACGTGAGCTCTTAGACGCGTCATATCTTCGGAATCGAATTTTTCGGTATCTCTTTCTAGCTTCTCGTATTCTTTCTGCCATTCGTCAACTTGCTCCTGTGTTGCGGGAGCATCACCCTCTTGTAAAACATCTATCGGAGGAACATTATCCAGAATCTTGATACGTTCGTCGATCCAAATACGTATGCGTTCAGCCTCCTTGAACCAAACGTGAACCTCCTTGATCCAAGCCTGAACACGTGTGAACTGTGTTATTTGTTGGTCAAAGCATTCCCTGAATTTGTGGTCTTCTTCCTCAGGTGATAGCAGGTGAGCGTAAGTAGCTTTAACATCATTTATTAAATTTTGTGCGTTTACCATTTGTTCGTCCAATTTCTGTATCGAAGCATCGGTGGTGGAGTGTCCTCTTCTCATATCACCCTTAATGTTGTCGAGTTGATCTCGAATTGCATAAACAGCTTTTGCGAATTCTCTTCCTTCCTTAATCATTTGAAGATCGTGTTTTCGCTCTTTGATAAGATCCTTGATCGTAGAGAATTTCAACTCCATCTCCTTTATTTTTTCGATAACTTCTTCTCCGCGAGCCTTCTTTGCGGATTCACTTTTCAACCAAAATTCCACCCACAGACTCCTTTCAAAGGTGGTCAATTCTGAGTCAATAGATTCGTAACGCTCGGTGAACTCGATGACATGATCATCATTGCAAGTTAAACCATGTACCCGTTCAGGTTCTTCATTTTCGGCATCGGTGTCGATCATGTAAGTCGGAGGAGACGCAAGTCGAGAATGGAAATAATCCAGTTTACCCTTTATTGTTATTTGCAGGCGGTCGAATTCGAAATCAGCAGAAGTCGGAGAAGTTGGACTCGATGGGCTTAGATATGCAGCCATTTGAAGTTTATTTTCGGCCAGAGCGATACGAATATTTTGAATGGTGAGTAATAGTTTCGCATGCTTTTGACTTAAGGCTTTTGAAAGAGCGGAATCGTCGGTCAATAATTGATCGGCAAATTCTGTGATTCTAGACTCCAAATCTTGGATGTCGCCGTGAACCAAACCAGCGTCATTGTGTTCAATAATAGTTTTTCTTATCTGTGCCATTTGATTGCGCATACCTTGCATGGAAGTTAGAAGGTTTATAACAATAGAATAACGATCGGTGGTGGTTTGCGATAAAAGGAAGTTCATGAAATCGGTTAATTTGGTGAGCCGATCGTTAAGATTTTTGAGTTGTTTTGTCATCAATTCCACAGCTGTCTGATCTTCCCTGTCAGTGGAATCCTTAATGGCGGTTATTATTTCTATCGATTTTTTCTCAAGGTCATCTATTTTTTCAGCCTTGAATTCTATCACATCCTGGGTAATTTTTCGGATGGCCTCCATTCGTTCTTTCACTAGGGACTCTATTTTTTTTTCCTCTTCGGACAAATCATACTTATCAATGAAATCGGGAACTTCTAATTTCTTTAACGCAATAAGGGTGTCCGCAATCACTTTGTCGGCATCGTTTGAGCCATCGAACCATCTTCCAATACGACGATCATGAGCCAGGGTTTGTTTGGTGGTGTTAATTCTGTTTCTCAACTCAGGCACACCAGAGGAGATGATAAGTTGTATATGATCGACTAAATCATCGGGGGCTCTAAATCGACTGTGTTGACGAAGTTGAATGACCTCCTTCACCTTCACATCCAATTCATGAACCAACTCTTCTCCAGCAACAACCTTGGTGTACCATTCATCCAAAAGGGAGGATGAGAACACAATTCCGGTAACAGTGACGTCATTTGAAGAGTCGCCATTAAGACTATTGATGGATGGAACCCCGCTGCTGGAAGTATTCACGGCGGCAACAGATGTGGTAATACCTTCATCGTGAGTTTTCTTTCTGGATTCTTCAACACCATTTAACATGGCCTCAACTTTTTTAATCTCTGCATCAACGCCATCCACCTTATCTCTTAACTCAGCAACCCATTTTAACTCTTGACACCTCAGCTTTCCTAATTTCACTATATCGGAGAAGGCCTGCCATGAATTTTTTATTGTGGTTGAATGTTCTTTTAATAAAGAGAGATCGATGCTAGTGGTGGTCGGTTCTGACAGGAAGTCCTCTAATTGATCATACTCGAATTGTCTACTTATTATTTCCACACCTATTCCGCTCAAAGATTCATTACAGGAATTTATAGAGTCGAGGTCTATTGGGATGGTAGATTTTGGTGGGATTTCAGGGAAATCTGATAACTGGGTGGTCATCCAAGACGACAAAGCTTGGGAAATTTTAAAGTATTCCTCGAGAGGGTCGCCTGGGCGGGGTAATAGATTAAGGTTTCGCAGCGTGTTTAGATTTTCTTGAAACTCCTGAAATGAATTGGCGTATTCTTGGTCCACGGTAATTACGTCTTCTAATACACCATTCTGTTCAGTCGTGTGGTCGTCGTCATCCTCGTGAAGCATTTCGGGAATGTACGATTCTTCCTCCATTTTTGTATTTTGTTAAAATTTTGGGTAGGTTGTATTCTTTATTATATTAAGATTTAATTACAACCCTTTTTTTTTTTTGCGGTAAGTAAACCGACAAGGTAAGATTTTGAAAGATGGTAAGATAAAACGATACGGAAGACACCGACCACGAGTTTTTTTAAAAAAAAAGTATTATTGGAAGGATAGGGTATTATAAGGGGTGTTGGGGTTGTAAGGGTGTTGGAAGGTGAAATAAAAAGTCGGATATAAAAGGAATCTTTTTGGCGAAACCACTCCTCGGAGAAATAGAAGTATTAGCAAAAAACGAAGAACTGTTAGCTAAACCGAAGACCACGTTTTCTTGTTTCTAATAAAAAATTCACTCCAAAAAAGTAGTTTTTGAAAGAACCCAGCACCACCTTTTGAATTTAAAAAAAAGACAAAGTGAAGATATTAAAATTGGGCGTTGCTAAAGGAATTTTCATTTAGAGCGGACATGCCTACGTGTACAACTTAAGGTTACGTACACATATCATATATTTTTACGGCTGAAAAAATCCTACTATGGTAGGTGCCTCTATCGTGCTAAGTAAGGTAAATTGAAAGTCTCTCTATTGTTGGTCTATTGTCTACAATATTTAAATGATGATATATCAACACAATGCCCATATATAAAAAGAATGCTTAACAACGTAGATACATAGTTGATCTTTGATAGGTGAGCGAATATAGATACATGAGTAATTTGACAGGAGTCACGAAAGTGTCGCGAAAAACACAATCCTGTATGGATAACGATAAACGGAAAAAGATTACCAGCGACACCCGCTCTTGACCTTAACCTACAAGGACGCGACCGTCGATTGGGTATCGAAACTTGACGCAGAAATCCGAATTTTCACAAATGTCCAAATGTCAATGCAAATCATGCAAAATTCATTGTACGCATATGTACACATACGTAAGTCTATCCAAACAATTACGATTTACGAAATACATATATGTCCACCGATCGTTGTTCTCGCACCCTCCTGTGCGTAAAAGCGTTAGACAAGTAACACATTTCCATTTGCGTATGCCCAAAACCTGAAATTCAATTTCTCAAACGGCTGGTATCCTGAACTCGTACCTTAAATATGGTCAATGTAAATGCGCCAATGCCCACAGAAGGTCGTTAGTGGATATATTAAATGTTTCAGATCAATTTTCCCCGACATTAATTTCCTATTACTGATTTTTCATTATGCGTCATCATTTTATTTCCCAAATTTTCGATAGTCAATAACAGAAGTTTGACAAAGTAACATTATTAGTAACAATAATATTACAATTAATAATAATTCCCTAAACTTCTTAACATTCTCCAAATGCATAGAGCCAGAATCATAGACAAGACATACATTTAGTATAAGCGTACGCATTCAGAGAAAGTTAATTGTATTACTATCTTATGTGTCCGATATTAGTCGAATTACTTTATAACAAAATCTCTTAGATATATATATAATAAAAAAACATCGATATCCTTTTGAGAAAAAACAAACCAACTCTATATCAAAACATTGTAACCCTTATAACCGCCAATTACAAAATAGGTTCGTGAACACAATTAAATTCACGTGATAATATCACAATCTGGTGATTACTTAACTAGTTCGTATTTTTTTTTGTCCACGTGATTTTACGGCGCCCACCATTGTGGGCGGAAGGTTGGATATTGGGGGTAGAAACGAAGCAGCGGTTTGTCTTGATTGTTGAATCATTAGGGTGCTAAATAAAGCCGAAGATAAATTTAGACTGATTCGTGGAAAATCAAACTATAATGTGTACCTACTCCATAATAACCAAAGCAGCCATGGACTCAACTATTGGTACTGCGCGCGGGACTACACAGGGATCATGACGACCCCTCGCGGCAAGTGTACCGTCTTCACCATCATATGTGACCGTTTGTTGTGGTTGGGATATGGTGGCTGGTGGTTTAAAGGCAACTCGGAAATAAATATTCTCCCCATTCGTGATTCCACCCTTGTGGTTATTAGACGCATCACGTGTGTAAGATAGACGCATTATGTAATATGATGGCTATAAAAGATCGGTAAATACCTGAATACCTCCTGAATTATTGGTTTTAGTTCCTAATACACCATCTTCTTT